TTATTTATCTAGACCTCTTAAACACTTTGAACATATTAGATCTTTAATATATCTGGAACTTATTTTTTGATTTAGTGTATGGTAAAAACCTAATTTTTTCCATATGGAAGTCAATTGTCCCGATACCATTTATTGAATAGTTCAATTATTTAAAATGCTACCTTTTAAGTCCCATATACAGGTCTATTTTTAGCCTCTGTTCTGTTACGTTGTTCTATTTGTCTATTTCTGCATCAATACCATATTTTTGTTTACTGAAATTTTATAGTATACTTTGATATGTAGAAAGTTAAGTTTTATCTCACTGCTTTGTTTTAAGATTTTGGGGGATATTACTTTTCTTCCAGATATACTTTAGAATTCCATAATACCAGTAAGATATTGGTAGAGCTGCATTGCATTTGTAGATTATTTCTGTAAGTTTTGACATCTGTATCATATTGAGGCTTCTCGAGTTATAGACCTTCATTCATTTAGATTTGATAAAATTCTCTAATGATTTGATATGGACTTTGTACCTTTTCTGCAGTAGATCTTTGACAAACTTTTTTTTCCTGTCTTTGGTCTGGTTGGGATTTTCCATCTCTTTTGGAGTCAATTTTGAGAACTTTTACTTTCCTAGTAAATCATACATTTTATTGGTATGCAGAGGTATACCGCATTTTTTCTTTCTTTCTTTCTTTTTTTTGGTAATAATTTATGGTTTGTACTTATATGTCGCCCCCGCCGAACTCCCCATTCCTAGCGTTTTGGGGTTTTCTTTATCAGTTATTTCAGTTGGAAATAACAGGAAGTCACGATTCAAACTGGCTTAAACAATAAGGAAATGTATTATCTCATATAACAAAAAGTGCAGAGATAAAGTGTCTCTAGTACACCAGAACTGTGGGTCCACTTTTCTGCTATTTTCTGGGCATGGCCCTTGGGCCAGCAACGAGATGATGATAGCAGCATACCCAGATATCCAGAGGAAGAAAGAGACCAGCTACCTTTTTTATGTGTCTCTTTCTCGAGAGTTGGAAAACTCTCTCAGAAACCCTCCAGCAATCTTTGATCACACAGTATTGGTCAGGACCGGGTCACGTGCTCATCCTAAATCAATAACTAGACAGGCGACTGAGGTTACCATAATTTACTTAGCTTAACTATTTCGAGGTGGAACGATTGTTGGGATGTCAACCACGTTGACCACTAAGTCTCTGTTCACACTAATCAGACTTGCCAAAGGTCTGTCTGTTTTATCAGCCTTATCACAGGTTTTGACTTATTAAGTACTTTGCTTTTTGTTTGTTTTCTAACTTATTATTTCTTCTGTTTTATTTAGTATTACTGTATTATTGATTTATTTCTAAACTTCTTGTTTTCAGACAAATTCACAGAAGGCTGTATAGCTCTTCCTCTACTGCCATTTGGCTACATCCATTAGATTTTGATATGTTCTCCTGTCATTGTTGTTTCTAAACAATCTATAACTTTAGTTTTATTTCTTCTTAACCCAAAGTTTATTTAGAAGAGCGTTTTGTTGTGTTTTTTACTTTCAAGGGGAACGAACACTCTTTTCTATATTCTGCTTTTACTGTACAGTGGTTAATAAATGTGGTCTGTATGATTTTTCTGTGTATGAGTATCTTTAACAGTATATCTGATGACAATGCTTTCTTTCATTTTAAGATAATTTTTTATTTTCTTTTATAGCAGCACAACACAATTTGAATTGTAGAATAGAATACATGGCATGCAACAAGACATAGCTGTTTCTTGCCCTTTCCCTCCTATTCCCTCAGCCCTGCTCCCCAGAGGCAACTGTTTTCAATTCTCTTAACTGTATCTTTGCTAATTTACCTCCATATTTCCAAATAATACAATATGCGGCTGTTTCTTCACTTTTCAAGATTAGATATTATCCATTTGATTTCCTACTATAGAATATGAGGACTATTCTTCTTATACGATGACTCCTCAGCTCCCACTTTCCCTACCCAGTGCTGGAGTACAGAGCTTTGCCACATTTGTATGGCTCCTGCTCATTACTGAGACAAGTAGTGCTGATTACGTTTCCTTTCTTGAACAATCCTTTTTTCCTTCTAGAGATAAATGCTTCACTTTTGTCATTTGTTTAGTTTCGTGTCTGTTCGCTTTTACCAAGATTTTAAAAAACGTTCTAAAGCAGCTTAATACTATTTTCCATGTGGTCGAATTCATCAACACTATTTTCTCTGTTTCTTTTTCTTTCTTTTTTTCATCAGCAAGGTATCCCTCTTTCTCTGACACTAATTTGGCTATTTGATCGCTAGGCCCATGCACAGCTGTTGTCCTAGGACTTCCCTTCATCTGTCTTTTTATTAAACCTCCTGTTTCCTAAACC